TCAACTATTGTAACTCATCCAAAACCAAGAACTCCCACAGACCAAAAACCAATGAAAGATCAACACTGCCACCTACCGAGGATGTACTGAAGAACAGGCTAACCTGGAAAGAGTTTTTGTTTTTTACATGATATCACCTTCTGAGATCTTCGGAAACCAGTTATCTGGGTTATCTTCCACCAGGGACCTTGGGTCAAGAGCAGAGGAAGAAATCAGGGTCTTCCTGAGAGATGCTTGGGAATGTATGGGTGACAGCTGAAGAAACAGAGACTGTTCACCCCATTAAAAAGCCCACCCAAGGGACATGGTTTCAAATTTCTGACAGGGCTATGTCAGGGCAAAGGCTTAGCATGTGGTACCCAGGAGGACGTGTGGGGAGAAGCAATAGGGTGACATATTTTGCTCTGCTAGAAAGAATTAAATAATGATTACATTCCAAAAATAGCATTATGTTACCGGAAAGTGAATTTGTCCTACTCACTGAAAATGTATGAACAGGCAACGTGACCTTCCATTCTGGAAAGGATGTTTGCTTTTCTAAGGGAACTGAGACTCCAGGGCTTCAGAATACATGCATGTATTCAACAGATACTTACTGGTGTCTTCTATTACTTTGGGTTCTGTGCAAGGACCCTTCCCAGAGTCACAGATCCCAGTAGAAAAGCTTCTGGAATGACTCAAACATAACTAAGGTGCCAAGGAGTCCCAGAGGAATCAAACTACATACTTGGTGAGCCATCCTGCAAAACCCAGCCTGTGTTTGGCAAGCCCTGGATTTCCATATCACACCTCCATGTTTAAAACACATTCATTCAAAACTCAGGCCCTACAGTCTGATGAACCAAACTTTTGCTCTTTTTATAAGTAAAAGACTGAAAATATAAATATCCCAATAAGATCAAAACAGGCTTCACTAACTTTTTTGGTTTAAAAAAAGAAATATAGATTAAAATCTATATTAAAATCACAAAATAGTAGAGCTGGAAAGACTTCCCAACTCAGCTGGTACGCTAAGCTTCATATGCTGGGCTGAGAATGATAGAAATAAGAATTCTAATCATTTTTTATTTGGGAGAACATATGAGAAAAGAAATAAGGAGGCAAATAACATGTATGGAATTTGTAATATAGTCAATGCTGAAGGGTAGTAAGAAGGTAAAAATGCTCTTTCATTTAAATAACCAGAAAGGTCCCACACTTTCATCTTTCTTTAAAGGTTTTGACTAAGGAGAGCTGTTGTTTTAATTTTAAACACCAAGTATGAGAAAAATACAAACTAGTAAAATGAAAGTAGTTCATGGAATAAATAAAAAGCTCACAATAGCAAGGTGAACGGAGATCCGTGGGCAATAAGGAAGGAAATAAGAAATCTGATGGAGAACCCACCACTGCCACCCAATTGAACAAACAAAAAACAAAACAGCACCCTGCAAACAAACAAAATCCCTCAAAACAAAATACAAAAAGACTGGAGGGGAAGCTGGGGTGAGGCGTGCCTTCATGAGCAGTTTAATAAAGACCTTACCTTCACCCCTTACCTGGTGGTGAAGGACTCTGATTCTACCCAGTGTCCATCTCCATAGCAGCATCTTGTCAGATGGGTTCATATTTATTTAGGATTCCTTTACCTGAGGTTCATACATTCAATGAGCGCTTCTTCCTGCTTTGAGCCCAGTCCTGAGCCAGGTTAGAAGGTTCAGGGAAATACAGACAAGCTTCTTGATCTCGGGGCATTTGTATCTAATTGTAGCAACAGTCTCAGAAACACGCAAGAATGAAAAATTAATATAGTGCAAGGGCTTGGTGAGGAGCGTGTCTACAATATGACAGAATCAGAGCATGTCGGGGAACCATTCAGAGAAGACCCCCCCCCGGAAGTGGTATTGTGGTTCTCACAGAGCACCCCAAACAAGCCAGGTTCCCCCAGAACCCAAGGATCCAGCACCCAAGTGATCACTGAACCTGTTTTGTTAATTCACAGGCTGGGTGTTTGGAAACGTGTGAAAATCATGTGCTTCCTTCAAAGGGAAGAGGGAGAAAGAGAGAATCCTTAAAAAAAAAAAAAAAAACTCAAGGGGTTAAAATGGGAATGAAGTGCAATTAGAAGGTGTTAGAAGGTGAGCCAAGTGATTTGGTAATCTGTGGGGGATCTGTGATCTACCAAGGCTGGACAGGAATTCAGAGGAAATTCCCTTTAGGGTGAGCCCAGGGGAGGATTCACAGGAGCTGGAGTGGGAAGCACAGCAATGGGCAGAGCCTGAGCAGAGGGCAGGGAGCAGGTGTGTGGGGAACAGGAGAGTTACTCAGTCTGACTGGCACCTAACAGGGGGGTGGGAAGAATGGCAAAAAAGTAGTTTTATGTTTCTTTAACAGGTCTCTTGGGAGTATAATTTACACACGGTAAAATCTACCATTTTCTGTGCACAATGAATGATGTATAGTAAATTTATGGAGTTGTGCATCCACCACCCAAATCAAGTTTTAGAATATACCCATCACCTGAAAAAGTCCCCTCCCACCTGTGTACAGTCTCTTTGTTCTCCTTCTTCCACTTAGCATAATGGTAAAGTCCAGGGGTTATCACCCCAAAATATAGCACCCTGGAATGCTGGTTATTTTTAATTAAAGGAGTTCAGAGAACAACAGAAGCTTCTCTCCATCTCTTTGTCTGTTTAATGTCCAGACCCACCAAAAATAACGACCACTGTTAGCCTGTTAGCATAACTATAGGCTGGTCCAAGAGTTAAGTCAAGCTAACTCCATTCTGCTCAGACATCTCACCCTGCACACCCCTTCCTCTTCCTGCAAGAGCCCACTCACAAACAAGTTGACACCTTCACACACCTGCACCCTGACACTTGCAGATGCTAGCCTACTTTCTGAATATCTATAGGGGGTGACAGTTCTAAGAAATTAATGACAGTGCACTTACCCCTCCTGCCCCCGGTTTTCGTTTGTGGTTTTTGGGGTCTTGAGGCCTGCTCTCCACCTGCAATAGCAAGGGCTAAAGGGAAGTGCTGCTGTTTCTCCCTGGGTGAGAAAGCCTGTCAGGTGTCAGACAATAAATCTGCTTTTGGCTTCGTCCTTGGTGTGTCTGAATGATCAGTCCTGCATCCAGTTTCCTTTCAATCACTAGTCCTTTTCCTGAGTTTTTAAGTAACTAAACAGGCATGAACCTCCACACCCAGTTAATACTGCTTTCTACATCAATTCACCAGCTGATGAACATTTAGATTATAGCATTATTCATAATACATAAAAATAATGACAAACATTTACATACAAACCTTTAACATATATTCATCTTTCTTTTTTTATATTTTATTTTTAGTTTTCAGTGGACACAACATCTTTATTTTATTTTTATGTGGTGTGGAGAATCGAACCCAGCACCCCGCGCATGCCAGGCGAGCGTTACCGCTTGAGCCACATCCCCAACCCTATATATTCATCTTTCTTGAATTAGAGCTGCCAGATTCAGCAAGATAAAGCACAGGATGCCCAATTAAATTTAAATGTCACATGAATAACAATTTTTTTTTTTAGTGTAAGTATATTCCTATTCAATACTTGGGACATATTTATACTAAACGATTATGTGGTCTTCATCTGATGTTCAAATTTAACTAGGCATCTTGAACTTTATCTAGCAATTCTATTGTGCATAGATACCTAGTAACTGAATTGCTGGGTCATAAAATAGGTTCATATTTAACTTTTTAAAGAATCGCCAATTTGTTTTCCCAAGAGCCGATATATAACACTAGACACTCCAGGGATGTGTGAGGAATTATTGTCAGCCTCCCTAATACTTGGTATTTATTGTATTCTTTTTTAAAAATAACCATTCTAGCCAGGTGCAGTGGCACATTTTTGTTCTCCCAGCAGCTCAGGAGGCTGAGGCAGGAGGATTAAGAGTTGAAAGCCAGCCTTAGCAAGGCCCTAAGAACCTGAGACCCCGTCTCAAAATAAAAAACAAAAAGGGGGATGTTGCTCAGTGAGTAAACCCCTCTGGGTTCTGGGGAGTTACCAAAACAAACAAGCAAACAAAATACAAAAGACAACCTAATGTGTGTGTTTTCTTTTTGTGGTTTTAATTTCATTAAGTCTTTATAAGGAATTGTTTATTGGACATTCATTTTTTTTCTTGAGAAAATGTCTTATCAAATCTTTGGAGCAGTTTTTAATTGGGTTATTTGTCTTATTGATTTGTAAAAGTGCTTTATATATTCTGAAAACAAATCTTTTTATATAATTTGCAAATACTTTCCCAATTTTTGACTCTAATGGTAAAGAGGTAAGGATCTCTCTTTCTTTTTAAATATAGGTTCCTATTGTTCCAGCACCATTTATTGAAAAGATTGTCATTTCTCCAATTGAATTATCTTGGCATGAATGTCAAAATTTATCACAATCTTCCTCAGATTAAGGTTAATAAAATTCCAATAAAATAACCCTTGTTCCAGTATTGCTCCATCTCCTGTGCCCTCTGTTGTGCCACATTATACATCACATCTATGTTGTAAAGCCAACAATATAGTTTTATTGCTTTATGCGACTTAATGCCACTTAAAGAAAACATATTTGCTGTTAGGTAGATTCCCATTCTCCATTACTTAATCAAACTCCAATCTTGGGACTGCTGTGAAAGGACTTTGCAGATAAAACTGAGGTTACTAACTAGAAAGACCATCCTAACATGAGCCCTTAAAAGCAGAAGAGCAAAGCACAAGAAGCAAAGAGAGAGATGATGGAAGAGAGAAGCAGAGGAGAGATGAGGCCAAAGGGTGATCAGAGAAAGGAAATGTGTGAAGGACTCAACCAACTGCAACTGGCTTTAGGGATGGAGGAGGGAGCCTCTAAGAGGCAACAGACAGCAAGGAAATGGGACATCCCAGTCCTGCAACTTCAGGAAATTGAATGCATTTTGAAAAAACAAACTGAATGAGCTTGGAAGCTTATTCATCCCAAGCTTCCAAAAAGACTGCAGCCACCGGCACTTGGGAAAAAAAGTAATTTATTTGCATTGCTTTCATTTTCTACTGTAGTGTTAGGACTTAAGCTTCACTCTTCTATTTTCTATTTACAGTTCATTTGGAATATTACTACAAATACAATATACAATATTAAAAAACTTATGGGGAAATGCAGTTTATGTTTTCTCTCCTCTTTACAGGCTTTTCAAAATCATTCAACTTAAATGAAAATTTATATGGACATTTCTGTACATATCTGAAAGCGCAGAGACTACACTGATAAAGTCAAAAGAATTCTGCACAAATACAATAAAATACAGAAAACAAAAAGTACAGATGATGTTATTTGGGGTACAAATATAAACAATACAGTACAATTTGAATTTAGCAACATAATACCCATACTTTATAGAAATAAAACTGCAAACCTGGAGAATGCTCTGACAAATATTAAACATTATATACACAATGAGGTAAATGTACCTTGGTCTCTTGAGAGGTAATTTAAGTTTAAAGCAATTGACATTTTGAAGCATCTCCTTGACATATAAAGAAATATAAAACACCCTATTCCATTGGCACAACGTGAAAAAAGAGTTATCAAAACACGGTTCATGATATTTAATTCACAAATCTTGTTAAAAATAAAAACAAATTCACTGAAGTTCATAAATTTTAAGTAACAGGTTGAATGTTATTAATCATATTTTTAAAAGTTTCCATTTAAAAATAAGATTGCATAATGGGACTGAAAATAGTGTACTGACAGTCCTCATGGTGTCTTAGGGAGTCCAGCATTCCCAGAGAGAGGGCCCACAAGTATTCTTGCATTCCAAAACACAGAAGGTGCAATACATGTGTGGAGTTATCCTATTCTTTAGGATCTCAAAATAACTGAATATTTTCTGCCTTGCTGTAACAGAACCTTATTTGGAGTATCCACCATTTGGAGCCAGAACACTGTGACAATCAAGAAACAAAACAGTTGATTTACAATCATTCTTCGGTACATGGATAAAAACAACCTTTTGATAGCTAATGGGATACTAATTTTGTTGTGCATGTTAATCAGCACTTTTTCATTTGTTTTACAAAAAGTCTCTGACACTTCTCAAACATGAGGGGGAAAAAAAGCAACTCACCCATGGACTTCAAATTGGCCAAGTGACCACTTAAATTTTACAGTAAGAAGTGAAATCTGGATTTCTTAATGGTGTGGCACTGTTCACTGACTCAAGGCACTTCTTGAGCACTATTGTTACAGCAGAATTACAGGCTCGGCTCTTCAGGCTTTACTGTCCTACAAGGGACATGAGTGGCCACTGTTTCTGGCACAACTCCCACTGTCACAGCTGCCACCTTGCTGTCACTCTACTTAGCTAAAATTAATGCAGGAATATCCTAAGCCTCATCCACTCATCCCTGCCACATCCAGTGACTCAAGGAAATGGAAGTATGTTCCACAACTTTCATCAACCACCTCACTCCAGGTCTCAAAAGCGACTCTCCAGTCAAAAGGGTAGGGAGCAGTGGCCAGCAGGAAGGCAGGCTAGAAGAAAGAGAACTGAAGATAGGGAGGAAGGACCAGGGATGTCGACGCCCCATTATGTCATTCTTTCCCACTCTCACTCCTCAAGGTACTGACAAGATGATGTGGGCAAGTGATTTTCTAGAAGATATTTTTTAGCCTGCTAAATCTTGGAGGGTGAACATTTAGCACAGGCAGTATAAACAAAGGACTATGTTTCTAAATGACACAAGTATTACTCCAGCCAAATTTATCTGAAGTTATGACCTATCTCATCTTTTAATATTACTTTCATTTTCAATATTACTTAATTGGGGTTCATCAAGCTGTCCCTAGGCAAAAAAGAAATTAGCTGCAGTAATATGTAAACTCAATTTAGAACTAAATTTCAACTTTAAAAAAAAATTCCCTGATTCATCAAAAGTACATTTTATCCACTTAGGCAAGAACAGTATGACTCAATTTTTGATGTTATCTTTACTAAAAGTTGATTATCTTATTTGAAAGTGAGAAATCATGTATTACAACTTTAATTCAAACAACTTTTGGTACATTCTTAAAATTATATAAAAATAGTTTTGTGATAAAATGCGTTGGTCCCTGGATTTCATAAAGCAGATCTTGTAAGCTTAGAAAAGGCCAAGACAAAAACAAAAACAAGAAAACCTAGTACCTGATCATAGAGCTAGAGAATATTAAACAGGTAATATAACTCAACTATAAAAACAAACCTCTCAAAATTATTCATTTACTTCAATAAAATCATAGTAACTACAGGAAAAAACCCTCAAATTTGTGGTCAAAGTATTAGCCTCTAAGCACATTTTCCCCGGGATGTTTTTAAACACATGAAATTTACACTAAGTTCCTATGGAATATGTCATTCATTCTAAAATTACTTTGGTTTTAAGACCAAATAGTCTTTCAAATTTATTCTATGTATAAGGAGAAGACATTATCAGAATGCAACTCATTCAGTGTAAATAACCACAATCTTTCTGACCAAAATACTGTGAAGGTTATTGTGACCCTCTTCTCAGGGACAGCACTACAAGGTCAGTTCCCCTCTTAGCTATGAGATAGATTTCCCCCCTCAGAATAAGATCACAGTGATAAGAAAGACTCTGCAAACTGTAAAATCCCTACAAAGAGACTTTACAGTACTAAAAGTAAAAACCAGTTGTTACAAGATAGTTCCAACTTCACTTGAGAAGACCATGAAAAGTTTACTTTAAACATTTAATTTGACTGAAAACATCTGTAAATGGAAAACCTACTCAGTGTCCATTAGTTATCAGCTCTCCCAATATCAAGGTGCACTGAATTCATTATATAACCATGTAAATTGAGCAGTTGCAATATCTGCACGTATGAGATAAGGAAAGACTGAATTAAAAGCTGCCTTCCTCAAAGTGTAGCGAGACCTCCAATCTACACTAACTCTAACCTCACAAAAACAGGAATCCACTGAACACTTACACCTACAAAACAAATGTGATTGTTGTACCCATCTGTTGTCTATTCAAATTATTAACTACATTTGCCTTCCTAGAAAAAGGTCTATTATTTAACATCAACCATATTCTAATTTAAATGTAATCATTTCTTAAAAAAATAACACTGTCTTTGATCAAATAAAGAACAAAATGGCTTACAGAATACCACACAACTTCTCACAAGAGCTAGACAAACTTTCCCTTATAGAAAATGAGTCTGAATGCTATCAAGATTAAGTTAAAGCACTGTGAGCATCTCGAGTGCCGCTTGAATGTTTAAAGTACACTCAGACCACACAACTCAACTGCAAAAGCTAGAGGTGAGATTACTCCAACATGACCATGGAACAACTGATTTCATGACACTGCATTTCTTTAGTGGTTCAAGCACATTTTGGTAGGAGAAGGCATTTTCAAAATGGAATACCCAATGACATATCACAAAAACCCTTCCAAAAAACAAAATAGAAAAGGTTTGGGTTACCCAGATAAATAAACTTTTTAAATTCAAACACTATAGGATTTAACAAACAAACTTTAAGCAATTCTACTCATTTCCATTTGAAAGACATAGAAGTGGCACTTACTGGTATAGTACAATCCCTTTTGAAGGCATGTAATGTTCTGAATATGTGAAAGAACAACAGTGTACAAAATACAATTGCATAAATTATGTTCCTCATCCCTATATGAGGTCATTTTTAGACTCAAGAGTTTTATAAGTATTAGTTTTAAGATCCTGAAAAATTATAGAACAGTACATTCAAAGTCTGAATCAAGGAAACTCTTTAGTGGTTCAGAATCCTCTGAGAATGTACTAACCAGGAGTAAATCACTTTCTTTAAAAATAAGAAATGTTTCATATAACCCAACAATCCAGTTCCTTTAACCTTACATATGATCTTCAGCATAGCAGAGTTACCTAAAGTTAAGACCAGCAATATTCTTTAAAAAAAAAAAAACAAGTTTTGTTAATCAAAAATAAAGATAGACTACACAACATTTTATAACTGTCCTGGGAAAGAATCGTTCATAGTGCACAGAAAGGACCCACGTGGCTGTTTCCTGGGTCCAAAGAATCCTGGGAAGTTTTTAATCAATCTTATATACTGTTGCAAAAGGAAGCAATATCCTTCCGTTCCCTCTCAGTGAGGTAGAACAATTGACCTCCCAAACGAGAACCCAGGAGCAGATCTGAAGAAAAAAGCAGAGTTCAGGCAAAGCTGTAGAATTACATTTTGATGCCTTCCTGTTGACTGAGTTGTGACAATGTCTTCTTAATCCGTAAGGCTGTCAGCCTAGCTGCTCCATTGGCATACCAACATTCTCTCATGATTTTAGCCATCACTCTCAAGGCCTAAGAAAAAAATATAAGAAAAATAATTAATGCGTGCACCACTTTTCCATCCATCTAGATCAGTTATTTATTTACTTACTTGGTCAGTGGGGACGGCACCCAAGGCCTTGCACATGTTAGGCAAGCATTCTACCATTGAGCTACATCCCCAGCCTCTTTTTAATTTCTTGAAACAAGGGTCTTGCTAATTTGCCCAGGCTAGTCTTAAATTTATGATCCTCCTGCCTCAGCCCCCTAAGAAGCTGGGATTACAGGCACGCACTACCACACTTGGCCAGGAAAGGCATCTTTACCTACAAAATCTCCTTTGAAATGACATATGTACAAGTTTTGGAGGGCATTATTTGTAATAGAAAATGAATGAAAATGTCCTAAGTTTCTATCTATAGGGTACTGATGCCAACAGTTGGAAAGCAGATGGGCAAGGGATAACTACTTGGTAGATCTAAAAAGGCTGAATCCTAAACCAGTGCTCCAGAAGGCAAAGCAGGAACTTGACTCACCCAGAGTCTCCCCAAAATTGAGAAATTCACTGCATGTTCATTGCATGAAATACCTCTAGGATGAAGTTCAGGATTAAAAAAAAAAAAAAAAAAAAAGGCAGGGGGAGGATTAGTTCAAAGTGTTAGAACCCAGGTACCTGCTCCATCCCCCATAACCTGGGCAGGTGGCTGCCCACCTCTACTCCAGCAGAAAACTAGAGGTATTGCCTATGTTTTGTTTTATTTTGTTTTAAATCTGAGAGAAAAAAAAACAGATTTCCAGCTTGAGGAACATGGAAGGCAGAAGTTTCATACTGGAAACATACTGAATGCTAAGACCATAAGCTTCCTCCCAGAAACATGGGTAGTCCCTATGTACAAATTCTTCCATGCAGGAGATTGCAAGAATCTTTTCTGGAAATCTGTGTAGCTTAAGAAGAAAGACCTAAAGAGACAGAATCAATAATTTCCCAAGGAAGCAACCCAGTGAGATCACCTAAAGAGCAGTGAATAAGCTCCATTCACATGTACAGTTTCCTATCCCTTTTTAAACATGAAAGAAGTATGATCATACATTTGAGGAAAGTAACATGAAATGGAGAAACTGAAACAGACAAACAAAAAAAGCAACTTAGAGAAAACAAACTGGAGAGAGAGAGAGAGAGAGAGAGAATATATTAAAAAAAAATCAATCATTAGGGGCTGGGAATGTAGCTCAGTGATAGAGAGCTTGCCCTGCATGCATGAAGTAGGTTAAATTTCCAGTACCGAAAAAAAAAAACAAAAACAAAATTATTATTATCCTCAAAAAGATAAAATACTGATATTGTATCTATCATTGATAGTTGTTTTTGATTGGCTTCACACTTTATTTTTTCTCCATAGTCTCTTTACTCAAAATTGCTTTACATCCTCCCCAGTGTTTCCCGGTACTTCATATTAGATGTTTTCCTCTAATGTCTACTAATGAACAGGAGGAACATTCAGAGAATAAATGAGTGCTCCTGGAAATTAAAATATAAGAGCATAAATATAATAACAGAATGGAAGAACTGGAAGATGAACCTGATAAACTTCCCAGGACACAAAGAAGGAAAAAAAAAAGACTCAACTGATGAATGAGAAATTCAGAAAGAAAATGAGAGGGTTTCTTCAGGAGGTCTAACATTCAAGTAATGAAAACTAAAGAAACAGAAGAAAGGAAAATAGGAGAAAGCAACCTCACGAACTTTTCCTAGAAAAGAACAACTATTTCCAGATTAAAAGGGACCATGTGCCAGCACATACTCAAAAAATATTTAATGAATACCTACTATACACCAGATACCATTTTTAGATGCTAGGAATATAGCAGTGAACAGATAGACAAAACCCTTGTCCTAAAGCAGTTTACAATCTAGGGAGCCAAACCACATAACAAACTACTATAAAATACGTGGCCAGTCAGATAGTAGTAAGTGCTAAGGAAAGAAATAATTTAGAGATAAAATGTCAGAAAGGAGGGTGCTACTTTAAATAGGTAGAAAGATAATGTCTCCCTGACAAGGCAACATTTGAACAGAGACCTCAAAGAACAGAGTAAATGAATAAACCAAAAATAGGAAGACATGAGATCCAGGAAGCAGGATTCAATATAAAAGGCAAAGGGATTTCCAATATGAAAAATGAGGGTTATCCCAAGACGAAAGCAGCACAGTTGGGTCTTGAGAGCAACCAGTCCAGACTGCAAAGAGAATGAGTTTCACTTTCTTTTTTAAAGAGAGAGAGAGAGAGAGAGAGAGAATTTCAATATTTATTTTTCAGTTTTCGGCAGACACAACATCTTTGTTTGTATGTGGTGGTGAGGATCGAACCCGGGCCACACGCATACCAGGCGAGCGCGCTACCACTTGAGCCACATCCCCAGCCCGAGTTTCACTTTCTTGAAATGAAACTATCAAGAAGAAATTTGTAAAACTCAGAAAAGTAAAGGATTGAACTAGCAATAAGTACACCGATAGCTAAAGAAATCAAGAAAAAAATTAAAATGACAGTGATCATATTGATTTAGTTGATGTGATAGTAAATGTAAATTATGTGTTAATATTAACTGACTTTTCTTCATACTTAAAAATCATTTAATAATACTCACTCTAATTATTAGAGTGTATGAATACATCTAGTCTATAATTTGCAGTACCCAGAAGCAATTTTAAAAAAAAACTCATTTGTTAAACTATGTCAAAAACCAACTCTTTTCTGGGCTGGACATATCATTTTGTTGGAGATAGCACTTTCTTTTGATAACAGAGGCTATGTGCAGTCCCACATTATTCTAAGATGTAAAATTAGCCAATGAAGTAACCAGCTTTTTATTCTTCCTAAGCTCTACAACTTCAAACCTGGAAAGCTATGCCCTGCTTCACTAATATCACAACAGTAATGGCTATCAATTTTGAAGATATTCAACACAATTTGTAGCATGAGTTCTTTAAATTTACAACTAAGAAAACATTTCAAACTTTTTGTAATAGCTGAAGACGAGAGGCTCTGACACTGATGGAAGCCATTTTCCCCAAAGTCCTAGTCATCTGGGCAAGCAGATGACCAAAATGCAAATTCTTCTGAAGCTGCTTTGCAATCCCCTCATCCAAGTTCCCCATTTTACAAAGGGACGTTCAGGTCCAGGGAAGCGAACTGGCCTGCCCAAAGTCCAACTATGAAACAGGAGCAGGCTTCTCTAGAATCCAGGTCTCTTAATTCTTGTCCCGTACTCAAAGCAATATTCTTGGCTGCCCTGGCTAAAAGGAGGCATTCATTTAAAAAGCAGGTGCCTTCCTTCATTTGGCAGATCTAACAATGTTCTGATAGGCTCGTGGCTACTGCAGTACTCCATGGTCTTTTTAAATGTGTTTAAAATTGAAAACAGAAAACCAAATTATTCTATTTTTACCCATGGTCTAACTATTATGAAAAAAAGAAAAGAGAATTCTTGTCTGCTTTCCTTAAAGAAAAGTAGCAAATTTCCACTTACTAAGCAGAAGCAGTTTAGAAAAGGGCCTTATATTAAAAATCAATACTCACTTCACAGCTCTGCCATCTGTTTGGAATATTTGGCCTTAATTTCTGTTCACAAACTACTTTTCTCATTTCTTCAACTGACGGATCAGAAGGTACAAGATCATAATAAGGCAGCTGGTAATCTTCATGAATTCCTATATGGGCAAAAAAAAAAAGTCTATTTTTAAGAATTTATTCAGCTAATGCCAAACCATTAGAAGTCTCTCCTAAGATGTCTGTAACAGTTTCCCATTACTAAATCAGGTATGTAGAATAAGGCTCACAGTTTACTCTACCTTAAATCCATACATGCATCAACAATTCACCTCCCTGAGAACTGAGCCCATACCTTGAAATTCAACACTGCTGTGAGATTGGCAAAGGACATTTTTAATGATGCTTAACTATGAGCCATGATGACTAGATTAACATTTTCCCCTATAACTGTACTGTATATTAAATGAGATTTCATTCTATGAGGACACAGTATCTTACTGGGTACAGGTACTACTCTCTCAGTAAGATATGAATTCTACAAGGCAAGCATGAAGTATAAGCTACTTTCATCTTTAAATAACATGTCCTATTTGCTATAATACCAAGACATACTCTGTCCCTCACTGCCACAAAGACCTCAGGTCCTCCTAGGTCTTAGTCAAGCCTGGACCCCCAAGTCTAAGAGATTATTTCTTGCATAAACAGTAACAACTGTTTAATCTAAAGTGAAACCTAAAAGTTAAAATTATATTACTCTAAAAATTAATGTAACATGATAGCAACTGCATTACCATTTATCTCCAGTGATCAAGCTGGAAAAAATAACCATAATCTCAAGGAAAATCCAGATACATGATCCAGATACATGCTAGAAACAGCTTCTTTGGGTGGCCTCCCAAGCCATTCCCCGTTCTAAATATTACAGTCCAGGATAACAAGGGGTTGGGTTCTGATGCTTCCCAAAATTCAAATAGAAACAGGAAAAGGAAGATACTAGGGTAAAGCTGGGCACTGGCATGCCATGTCATTCCCCTCGGTCCAGGTTTTACCTTCTTTGTTTGCTCTGGTACTCTCAGTGATCACCTATCAGATTGTTGACTACAGAATTTCATTCAATAAAAAAGAAGGCAATTCTTGAACAACTTCTGTTCATGACAAACTGTTGGGAGAAGGGAGAGCAATTTACCACCAATGGAACATCGTCGAGCAATTTCCCAGAACACTAAGCCCATTGCATAGATGTCAGCACGTTTGAAGGATTCAAAATGTTTCATATTTATGGAATCATCTAGAACTTCAGGGGCCATGTACCTAAAAAAGAAATTGACATTTCATTTTATTGAAGGGTAGCAACATCATTTTTTAACAGTTTCACACATTTTCTTTTATCCCTGAGAATAAAATAGTAAAACAAACTCATTATTAATTTTTCCCCTCTTTAGCAAAGTTCTGCTTTTAAAAATGATTCACATTTATAAAAATTTCCCTAAGTAAACAAAGTACCAAGTGCAAAACCTCATCTCCTTCCTACCACAGTGTAAATGTTTAGATGAAGATTATTTCAGACCTCTCTCTATACAAAAACACATACACACAATATTACATAACTGAGATCATACTAGACTCAAGAAAAATATTAAATATCTGCACTGGTTTGCAAATTAATGATGTCAACTAAATCCCACAAAATGCTGAAACTGCAGTTTCATGCTATCTGTCTTCTGATTTTGGCTTCTAGTGGAAGACACACATATAATAGGTATGACTTAATAAATACACTAATATACACCACCTTGTATACTGTATAGGGAATATGTATTTTTTTTTAATTTTTTTTTTAGTTTTTGGCGGATACGACATCTTTGTATGTGGTACTGAGGATCGAACCCGGGCCACATGCACTACAGGCGAACGCACTACCGCTTGAGCCACATCCCCAACCCCGGGAATATGTATTTTTATCTGGAAGTCTACTCACTAAAAGAAGATGAAAAGGGTAGGGACATACTCCAGGAAACAAAATAACAGAAATGAATGGCAGTCTTCATACTGATGCTACCGTACAGGGTTCTAAAGTTTCAAAAGCCCTGTCAAAGTTACAGATCAGACCCGTGAAGGCTTATAGCAACCACTTACCTAGGAGAGGGTTCTGAATACCCTCTATGAATCTAGAAATCATAAGTACAATTTAGATAGACTAAAACTGCTAGCTCTCTTCAAGGTCAAGGCAATAGTTTTGAAGAAACATTTGTGACAACATGATGTCATATATAGAGGAAGGGCTTTTGGGGCAAAAATCTCAGCTCTTTAGCTTACCATATACATGAAGTTGGTCACATAACTTCCAGGAGGTGGTTTCCCCACCTCTGAACTAATGGTAATGGTGCCTACCAAATTAGGTTCTTTTGAGAACTCATGAACTCAACAAATATTTATTAAGGACCTACCACATACTAGGTAGCGTGATGGATGCTGGGGATACAAGACTGCTCTCAAGAAGCTTACAATCCAATGTTACATATAGACAAAAGAAAAAAAAAACAATAGTTACAACTTAATGAGGTAAGGGCTATGAGTGCCCTTATCAGGGACACCTAAGAGTAGTGAGGACTAGAAAAGGCTTCCTGTGAGAAAGGAAGGGTGTAAGTTAAGGAAACAGTCAGGGAAAGTATGTTCTAGGAAACAGTACATGCAAAAAGTTCTAAGGAAGAGAGAAAGGCATATAGCTACAGCACCTCATTTGAGGGCATTGAATGAGGCAATATGTGTAAAATACCTATTAAGATGATTGCCACATAGTAGGTACCCCATAAACATTAGCTACCATTATTATAATTAACATAACTAATGATATTTTCAGAAAGGGCTGCCTTTCATCCCCAGGCATCATTTTAAAGTCAGGTGACATTGGCTTCAGAGAAGGTAAGACCATGAGACTTACCTGTGGGCAATCTAATAAGTACAAGTTCCAGTTTCAAAAAAGACACGTATATACAAATAAGGAGATGGAAAAGAAATAGATTTCAGGAGATATTAAATATCATTTATTCACAAGTATACCTTTTTGTTCCCACTCTGTGGTTTGGAGCAATATCAATTGTATCTGTGGCTGAATCATGTCTTACTGCCAGTCCTAAGTCTGCAATACAGCATGTTCCATTCTTCTTCACCAAGATATTCTTTGATTTCAAATCTCTATGAGCAATAGCTGGTTTTCCTGAATAACCCAAAAATTAAAAATGACTGCTTAAGAAGTAATACCAAAAGCGTCTCCTTCTGCCCAGTATGAAAGCATTTCTGTCCCATCACCTGCCATACTCAGGGGAGTATTAAATAACCTCAACTGAAGCATTATACCCAAAGTTGGTTGGAATTACATTTCTTTAAAGGAAATGGAGACAATAATAAGCTCCAAAAATTGATACTCAAACAATAAAAGTCTATCAATTCAAAGACTGGGGTTGTGAAAAAAGTTGTCAGTTTGTTGGTATCTTGTGCATTCTTTACGAGAACTACAGTCTATAAATTGCTCTTCTAGTTCAGGAACCAAACATGTAGATCATATGCCTATCATTCCATTCCTGGAAAGAATACAATACTAAATATGCTATCTTTAATACCAACTACTAGAAAAGGTGCTATTAAAAAACAATCATTACAATGTGGAAAATCCAGAACCCTGATGGTAGGAATAAGATAGAATAGTGGAGGAAAAACAGTCTGGCAGTTTCTCAAGCCATTAAGTAGTTACCATATGATTCAGCTATTCAAGTCCTACCCAAGATAACTAAAAAATGCATCTACATAAAAATTTTTACACTAACGGTCACTATATTATTATTTATTATAGTCCAAATCAGACACAACCCAAAAGTTCATCATGAACACACAAAATGTGATATATCCATACAATGGAATATTAGTCATAAAAATGAATGAAATACTGATATATGCTATAATACAGGTGAACCTTGAAAACATGCTAAGTGTAAAAAACGACATTCCCAAAAGACCACATATTATAAGACTCCATCTATATACTAATGCCCAGAATAAGCAAATCTATAGAGACAGAAAGCAGATGAGTGCTAAGACTAAGGAGTTTGGGGTTTAAAAGAGAAAGACTGCTAATAGCGGACAGGGTTTCTTTACAGGGTGATGAAGATGTAGTAAATGGTTGTGGTGATGGCTGCACAACTGTGTGAGTACTTTAAAAACCAATGAATTGTACACTTTAAATGGGCAAAACTGTGGGATGTGTGAATTATAACTCAAAAAGTTGTTACAATCAGTAATTACACAGATGGGGCTGGCAGAGATGCGAACAGAAGAGTAGGCAAGCCACCAGGTAGTGAATGGGTGGCAGCTTGAGCACAGAGCTCTATCAGCCTCTGATAGCCTACAGGACACAAATACCATGACATAAAGTTATTTTTTATAGACTTAGAGCCTTCATACAAATCAGTAAGAAGAGTACAGCTTTGAGAAATAAGAAAAACAAAGAAAGTCTAGGCTCACAGAATATAATAAGGAACAGGTTGTTTTAAGATTTGAGGGAGGAGTGAAACTTCCTAACTAAAACTTAGTATTTAATTTGTCAACTATTAAACTATCTCATTCAGTCTCCTAATCTAAGGATCAAATATAATTATTAGATGGCCAGATACAATGTATATAGCATGTTGGTGTTTAAAAAGCACTTTCATATTCCATTTGATACTACATAAAAGAATATATTCTGAGGCTTGAATTCTAGAACTAAGATCCTCAAAAATTGTAAATAAAACTGAATGCTTCTGGGTGCAGTGGTGCATGCCTATAATCGAAGCGGCATGGGAGGTTGAGACAGGAAGATCACGAGTTCAAAGCCAGCTTCAGCAAAAGTGAAGTGCTAATAAGCAACTCAGTGAGTCCCTGTCTCTAAGTAAAATACAAAAAATAGGGCTGGGGATGTGGCTCAGTGGTCAAGTGCCCCTGAGTTCAATCCCTGGTAACCCCCCCAAAAAAACAAAAACTGAATGCTACCTTTAAGAACTTAAAAAATATCAGTGTTGTTAAAATGAGTAGAGAATCTCTAAACAAATTTCCTAACTCTGAGATTTCTAACAGAAAAGGATTTCTCATCTAAAACTTCATTTCAAATATCTTCAGTTAGGCCGACTTCTAGTTTTAAATAGACATTAAACTGTTTGAAGAGTTACCTTGGGTACCAACAATCTCCATGTGAAGATGGGCAAGACCACTTGCTGTGGACAGAGCAAGTTTGATCATTCCTTCCACAGTAACTGTATATCTGTTCAAGTAATCAAAAAGGGATCCATGCTCATGATAATCTGACACCAGCCAGAGCTGAGTCCATGTACCATTATCTGCAAAACAGAATAACGTGTTTCAGTTGGCTCTAGAACATTTGAGATTTACTCAAAAACTTTAAAATATAAAATTACTACCTTTTATTCTTAATTCTGAACCATACAATTGCAATATCATGCCACCTCAGGTTTGTATTTCCTGTATATTCAGCTTGTCATGTGCTTTCACATACACACTCTTTAAGTTCCCTACTCTTGAGATAAGGCAAGGATAATTAATCTCATTTAAGAGACACAGGTGGTGACTTTCTTGAGTCTATACAAGCAAGTTGCAGAGCTGGAACTCTTACGTACCTAGAAGAATACTTGGATCAGATTAGATGTTCAATGGCTATTTCTGGAAGGAAAAAAGGAGGGCAATAGTGAGGGAAGGAGATGAAAAGCAATGTAAGCCCCGTGTGGCCACAGTGGGAAAAAAAATAGTATAAAACAAAACTGAAATAAGTTTCAGTGAGAAGAGACATAGCTTTAGTGACAGAACAGAGTATATATTTCACAAAAATGCCAGACAATATGATTATGGCTCCAAGGTTGCTGGCTTAGAAAAACAAAATGAGTGGTACCTCTGAAACACAGGAAGCTCAGATGAAAATTAAAATGTCAGGAAGAGGAAAACTGAAAAGGTTGGGACTGAACGAAATACACAAAGTGATTTTAAACCTGAACAGTTAGGAATGTGGATTCCAGGAGTTCTTTTGTAAGCTGAACATGGATGTGAAAATGTGTTTTTTCACAGGAACAGATTAATACTAGGTGGCTCCTAGGTTAGACTATCCCATAAGAGTTATTTAACCTGGAAGTAACTGGAAAGTTGTATATTTGATCAAATCATGAAGGAAAACAAAACAAAAAGCTTTACAACTTTTAAAACACAGTACAGTTCAATAAAAGACAAACCCTTGAGTCATTCTGACCTGGGCTAGAAATCTAGGGCCTGTCTATTATCCATTACACAACCTCAAACAAGTTTCTTAACCAATGGGCCTCTCTATTTACTTTTATACAAGAATAATATGGTACTTTGTGCTAAAAAGACTAAAAAAACCAGAACACAGTACTACTTTTTTTTTTTTTAAAGCAATTAGTATATTGCTTGGCACATGAGAGCTTAAAATGTGCTATTTTGTCCCCTACAAATTATGGCAAGAAGAAAATGCGCCAAATTGATATAAAATAACTTCTTTATTTTGAAGATTGTTACTTTCTGAAAAGCAATATTAATGAAAAGAGATTAAGGAAGGAGATGGGAACGCCCCAGATTTTGGAGAGGATTTTTCAGCTTTAAAAGGACTTAAGAGATTCATGATACTAGTTTTTGATTAACTTATTCTTTAAAAACTATAAACTGACTATCCAAACTTATGTCTGTTCTTTTCCTTGATAAAGGCATATCACCAGCATGCCATTAACTATAACTGAATTCTGAAAGACTCACAAACACAAGAAATAGAGGAACACTGGTAGATGAAAAGGGGAGATTTTCTGAGGTAACTAACCAGAGGCAGAAGGAAGGTTATGGAAGAGGCTGTGCATAGAAAGAGCAGTCTCAGGTGGAATTAACTGAATTAGGAGGTTGAAGAAAAAGAAAAAGGGAATTGGGGTGGAAAGGCTAGGTTCTGAACAAAGACCATTAAACCCTGACAAAAAAGAAAGAAGGGGAAAAGAGGGGAAAGAAGGGAAGAGCCAGTAGGGTCAGCTACTTCCCATGGTGACCACCAGGTGACAGCATCCACTTCAACAGGAAAAGAAAAGTTCAAGGCATAGCAGCCCCAGCAATTTGTGCTCATGTGTTTGCAACTTGAAACATGTCCAACAGGCTTAAGCTTCAAAATGAAGATTTAAAGAGTCACTACTATGATAGACTTTGAAACCATGAATGTAAGTAAGTCCTTTATAGCAGTAATTAACTACTATTTGTCTTATGAATCAGTAAGGAGAGTAAGACTTTGAGAGAAGGAAACAACTATTAAGATATAAGAATAAACTAAGAAAGTCAGACAATATAATAAAGAGAAAGTTGTTTTAAGGGTGGGGGAGGCCAGACATGGTGGCACACACCTGTAATCCCAGGGGCTCAGAAGGCTGAAGCAGGAAAATTGCAAGTTCAAAGCTAGCCTCGAAACTTAGCGAGGTTCTACGCAACTTAGCAAGACCCTGTCTCTAAATAAAATATAAAATAGGCTGGGGATGTGGCTCAGGGGTCAAGTGCCCTTGGGTTCAATCCCCAGTATGAGTGTGTGTGTGTGTATGTATATGTGTGTGTGTGTGTGTGTGTGTGTGTGTGTATATATGGAAGGAGCTAAATATTAGGGTCAAAGGCAGACGACAATAAAAACTAAGGATCTGGTCAGATTATGATTACTGCTTTTGTCAACTTATTTTGTTTTAAAATTAATTGATACTGAATAATAGCCACTAATAATCACTGCTTACATCCATCACTGTCCCTATCATTATCAAACATTATATGCCTCCTGATGTGATACAATAGGAAGTATATAATATACCTGATATGTATTTTGGGGAAACCAATAAAGCCTTAATTAGATTCAAAATCTAATTGCCAGTTTTATGTAGAGTAGTTAACAGACACTACAGAAATTCAATCACCAAATTACAGAATATGATAGTAAGCCCACAGGACAAACAACCCAGTTTCTTCAACCAACTGCAAGGAAAAAAAAAAAGATGGGGAAACCTAAGGATTTTAAGGGATGTATAAGAAATATCAACCCAATGTGACAATACGTGAACTTGGGATCCTATCTGAATAAACTATTGTGGGGGTTTTGTTGTTGTTGTTTTTAGGAGGTAACTACATATTTGAACCAGAAATGATATTTGATGACATTACTTTTTTCTAAAAAGTACAATAGTAGATTTCTCATAATTTAAAGATATGAATTGAAAATGTTTATGGATGAAAAGATATATTATCTGGGACTGGCTTCACGCAATTTGATCAGGGGAAAGTAGGTAGCATCAGAAATCAAGGATTGGCAGTAAGTTAATAATTGTTGAAGTTGGTTGATGGGGAATTAATATACTGTGCTTCACTTTTCTGAAATGTTAAAAGTGTTCTATAAATAAAATTTTAAAAAGACAAAACAACATATGCTTGTTGTAAATAAATTTGAAAATACAAAGAAGCAAAAAAAAAAAAATCACAGAAATCACTCATAACTACCAATTGAGAATATACACTGCCAATATTTTAAAGAAATAAATACTGCTTAAAAAAAACGGGGGGAGGTGGGGACAGGAAAGAAGGAAAAGATGACCACAGGTCTGGCCAAGCCACAAAAGACAATGATAGCATTTAAAACAAAAACAAAAAAAAAAACAGGAAAGCTGGAAAATACACTTGATTGAGGTTTAGGACGGTTGAGAGTTGAGTTGTAACAGAAGTCTTTTGACAGAAGCTGTAAAAGTAGGAATTGTGGGTACTGAAGCCAAGAAAGTGGGAGAAGCAAAGTGAGGTCCCTGCTAATGTAATCACTCATCCTGACTCCACTGATAAAACTTCCTCAGTACCCACACTACAGGGTCAAGAAAATGTCCACATGGTCACCAGAAGTGAGGGAATTTGGTAGAAACCATTTCTGTTTAATTAAGTTTACTTAAAAAGTTGACCAATCTTGCCCCACACAACTTAGACAATAGGATACATCAAGAAGTTATATTTACTCCTCCTATAAATGAGGTCACTGGTCTATATTGACTTGTCCATACCAGTCAAGAAGAAATTAAAAGGAAACAAGTAGTTGATCCCTATCCTACTCAAAATTTTAAGCAATCAAAATTTGTAAATTTTTTCTACATTATGACTATAATCAACTAACTGTCCAGAACTAAAATAACCAAAGTATATGGCTTTCTTTGATAGACTATATATTTTATAAACCTTCTATACATTTTGAAACATGTTGTCATAAAATTGTATTTGACTTAATAGGTCTCATCTATATGATAAACATCTATTTCTCACCTAATTTGACAATGTTTTGCAGTCATATCTGGAAAAAGACTTATATAGACTTTATTATAATTAACATAAGGATAAGCAAATTTTACTGACCTTTATTGTCTGCTGCTATAAATCCCAGGATGTTTTCATGGCGCAACATTACAGTTTGATAAATTTCTGCCTCGCGGAACCATGAACGTTCTTCTCTGGAGGAGAATATCTTAACGGCAACTTCTTCTCCCCGCCACTTTCCTCGCCAAACTTCTCCAAATCGACCTTTGCCGATACTTTCTTGTAACACAATAGTTCTTGCAATTGTTCTCTGAACAAGCAATGGTAAACCTAAAGACAAAATAAATGGTATGCAAAACAGTCAACAATGTGTTTCAAACATCATGAAACTAAAGATGTGGCCCAGACAGGTACCTTTAAGAAGCTTAAAACCTCACTAGATTTACAGACTATGTTGGCAAAAAAATAATCCATGAAAAGTGGAAAATAAGATAATAAATACAATAAAAGAATCCAGAAAACTCCTGCCGACAGGGTCGGGATTGGTTTTATAAAATAAGCTGAATTTTGACTGTCATTTGCAGAAGGGACAGGACCAAAGGAGAGAGAAGGAAGTACGGTGGTTGGGTAGGAGGAGTATGCAAGCAAAGTCAGAGGAAGGGAATTAATAATGACTATTTTGGGAACCAGCTTGTTTAATCAGAGAGGATATATGTGGAAGAGCAGTGCAAGAGAACATAAGAGCCAGGAAATGAACAGTAGTAAAGGCCAGGATCACAATGACCAATGAGGGCTATGGATAAAAGAGGACTTATTAAACATGTCTGAAAAGGGTGCCAGAAATGCAGAGGTGGGGTGGGAGTACAGGGAATAAGTTAAAATTTTATTTTGGAAGGATGAACTTAGTGGGCTGGGGTTGTAGCTCAGTGGTAGAGCGCTCACCCAGCAAATGTGAGGCCTTGGGTTAAATCCTCAGCACCACATATAAATAAATAAATAAAATAAAGGCATTGTGTCCAACTACACCTAAAAAATAAATGTTTAATAAAAAAAAAAAAAGAAGAAGCATGAATTTGGTAATGATTTTACTGATGGGAGGAGAAAGGATGTGAACAAAAGAAAAATAAATTTTGACTTAACTTTTTTTAAATATTTATTTTTTAGTGCTAGGGCGAGCACTTTATTGCTGAGCCACAACCCCAGCCCGCTGACTTAACTTTTAATAAATCAGTAGAAATTATCACAGAAATCATTTCAAGGCAAATAATTTACTTGCTAGGAACTGATGACTTAGGCAACCTAGAATCTGAATGAATGATACCAAGGAACTTACCTTGATAATGGGACATTTATGTTTTCACTAATTAACCTTGTCTTATTCCAAAATATATAATTTTAGATATCACCATACTAATTTCATTTAAAAGAATTAAGTACCTACCTACAACATTTAAACAACTCTGTATCTGGCATAATCACTTAATAACATATCCCCAGTTCACTAAATAACTGTCAGATTCTAAGTTATACTGACATTAACAAGTAAAATACCAGAGTTCACCATGTTTTATGCTAGTATTTTATTTATACAATCAATGTATGCATAAATTAGTGTCATTTATAAATTATACTCAGAGCCACTTACTAGGTCAAATTAACTCAATGACAGTAAAAAATTATCTATCCTTATGTTCCCTGGTGTGAAATGCTCATAAATCTAAATGTTAAAGTCTTTAGGGGATCAGAAAATCTTCTCTTTTCATCTGTGCATTTCTCATATAACTCTTTCCTTTTCTTACTGCAAAGCAATTGGCAGTGTAATTATAAATAATTACTTTTATGTACAATGAGACTGCTAGTTAAAAACAGATCTGTGACAAATTCTTATTTAAAATTAAGGAGCTCTTTTGTTCTATAAACAATTAACTCCTAATTACTACACGTTGTTTAATACATACAACATGTTAAGTACTAACTTATTACATTTTATCCAAGTCTTGTATAGGGCTGCATCATGTATTCAAGTATACTAAAAAGTTTCAGAGGATAATCTGGAAGTTACATAGGCAAGTAATAAAAAAGAAAAAAAAAACACCACGTTTGAAAATGCATCACAGATTTAGGGGCTTATGTAAGTGTATAGTGAAGAAAGTAGCACACGATAAGAGAAGTTTATTGTCTTTCCCTTCATCACTAGATAGAGAATTAAAATTAAAACCCAAATGTAGGTCAGCCATGTTATCCATATTGGGTTACCATAACCTGCATGAATACTTGAGAATTTTTATTTAATGATTTTCTTCTAAAGATAAAAATAAACAGGCCTATTTTAGATCTCTATACTCTTTGTTTTACTCTTCTGTACCTTTAAAACTGCTTGAGAGGAAGCATCAATAGGGAAAACATTCCAGAAAAGCTGTACATACAGTCAACAATGGAAATAAGAAATGGACAGTATGCACATATTTCAAGAGATCTTAAGCATGCAAAAGACCTAATGACCACTGTGTAAGACATTCACTCCTTCAAAAACTGGCACTGCTTTATAATTTCATTACAGTTTAAGAATGAGTCCATGTATAACCTGTGATTAAAACTAATGCAACAAGGGGCTAGGGCTATAGCTCATTGGTAAGCTTTTGCCTACCATGAATGAGGCACTGGATTCGTTTCTCAGCACCACATAAAATATAAATAAATAAAGGTCGTGTGTCCATCTTCATCTAAAAAGTTAAAAAACAAAAACTAATATAAAAGGGATTAATTTATCTTCAACGTTAGAGCTACTACAACCCAATTCTTTGCTGTCTTCCCTATAGTTCCCAAGTTAAAATTAAAGTCTGTAACAGGTAGAGATAAGGTTTTTCCTCAAATATGATCATGGTACTGAGTAATAGACATGTGAATTCAAAATAAGGAATGCTTAGTTTTAACTTGTTCCTCAAGAAGTGAAAGAACTAAAATAGAATTTATGAATAGATATTTTACTTATTCACAGGCATGAGTCTTATGCATAAGGTAGCAATGAGGCTTCCTAATGAATATAAAGGAAAGACGGCCTTTTCTGCTATCATTCAATAGAAGATGGTTTCTGCTTAGATAAGTTCAGAAACAATTTAGCTAACAATAAACTATCATGAGAAAAGTCTTAAACTAAGTTCTTTTTGTTTAGAGGTTTTTCTTTTTGGGGTATAATGTTACAAATTGATGCTGTATATCAGAATTTTCTTCTACATGTTGTCAGCACATGCTGTCATTTGGACATAGCTCTAAATTTGCCAAATGCTTTTACACAAACATCTTGTCCCATCTGAACTTCACAACAGCCCAATGCCATGTACTATGCAGAATTCATCACTTTCATTTTAAAGATAAAATAACTCAAGCATGTGACATCAGCTAACAGCCTAAAACACTTTACAAGGGAAGTCTGGAAAGGAGAAAGAGCAGCTTTTGGACAACAGAGAGCTGTGGTCCTTGATGAACTTAGAAATACATACAAAATGTAAAAAAGAATAATTCTACTCTTGGCTCCTGTCTACATTTTAAAAGGTAAACACATATATTCTTATTCAGAAATCAACTGCCATCCATACAGCAATGCCCTAAAATTGTTTAGGTGGGCTTGTGGACATAAGGGGCTTCATGACCCTAGGTGTAAGTTTGGCAATAAAAATACAGGCCACCCTGATTTCTGTGACTTTGGTCCTTAGCATAGTTTTGGACCAGAATAATCTGTGAGAAAAATTTTCTCTGGGAACCTTTTGAACTTTAAACTAAGAATCAATGAGAAACCCTAGGGAAGCCCTAAAATACCCTTTTGTCTCCGGCTTCTTATGCAGAGATTTTCATTATCTTCTGTACTACGGCTGCTCCTTCTCAGTTCAACCTCTCATGGTTCCTGTACAAGCCTGTTTTAGCAGTCAGAGAAAGAACTTGTCTACTGAATATGTAAGGCTAAATTCTACAGAAGGCTTCAGGTGGAATTAATTTCCTTGTGTTACTTAAATGAATGAACAGATATTCATACCATACATATTTGTTTTCTTAAAACACAGACATTTGTCACTATATGAACTTTCCATTAATGTGATTTTTATGCTTCAGAGCTATCTTCCTCAGTCACTTCTGCTTTAATGTTCCTTATTATCACTTGGTCATAAAATTACTAATTTTTCATTATGTATATTTTCAGATTTTCACTTTTTCCATGACTTTAGCCCTTATATAGAGTTGACTTACAGTTTTCAAAGAGTATATCACATTTAAAAGTCCTAAAAAATAGTTTAAGTATTTTTAACAATGGCATATGTTTCATATTTCTGATGAGGAAACAGAAGCCCAAAGAAAAAATAGGGTTTAACCAAGGTCATCGAGCCAATCAATGACAAATCTTCTACTGCAATCTAGATCTATTGATTCCCACCAAGTATCAAAATCCCAAATTGTAGGGTATAGGGGTGTTCCTCTCTCAGTCTCCTTCCAAACCATGAGTAAGAAAAAGTAAAAGATAATTCCCCATCCCTTTAAAAGTAAAGTATTTTTAAAATCTACCTCAGGATGATTCTGGCAATTTCTTATCCCACAAAAATCAACCAAAACAACCTAATAAAAGCAAACATGACAAGGGTCATGGATCCATAAAGCATATTAAGTAAATAAGGTGGTTAGACATTCTTCTGGGGGAAAAAAAGACTTAAAATTCATTAGTTTAATGAAAAACCAGAAATGAGTTAAAGAACAGCAATTTCATCTATTGTTAAAATAGCAAATAACCTTCCTAGTTCCAAGCATGTGCCAAGTTTAGTCATGCCTACTTTCAAATACAAAACTAAAGCTGCCAAATAGTCCTGAATAGAATAAGGAGCGGATCATTTAAACATCTTTGAACTTTAGCATTATCTGTAGTACAGTTGTCCCTATCCTTTCTATCTCACAGAGTAATGAGAAGCAAATGAGATTATATAGCGAGAATGCTTTAGAAGTTATACAATTGTGGAGCTGACTTACTGTCTTGTTTCAACAGTAAAAGCAAGCTCCAATTTGTTTATATTAAACTACCCACAGTAAGAACAAGCTTAAAGGTCTTTATATCGGCTTTACATAGGATCAAACCTGGAATACTAGCTGCATGTTGGCACATGGCTGTAATCTCAATGGCTAGGGGGCGACGGATGGGGAGTGCTGACTGCCAAAGTAGGAGGATTGTGAGTTCAAAGCCAGCCTCAGAGATTTAATGAGGTCCTAGGCAACTTAACGATACCCTCTCTCTAAATAAAACATAAAAAAAGCTGGAGATGTGGCTCAGTGGTTAAGTACCTCTGGGTTCAATCTCTGGTACTAAAAAATTAAAAAATAAATTAAAAACCTAGAAATACTGTTTGCCCTAGAAATACTATTTGTTTTAATAAACCAAGGAAAATGGCTTAGCCATGTAATAAATAAAAGTTGTTTTTTTTTTTTTTTTTTTTTTTTGAGAGAGAGAGAGAGAATTTTTTTTTTAATATTTATTTTTTAGTTTTCGGTGGACACAACATCTTTATTTTATTTTTATGTGGTGCTGAGGATCGAACCTAGCACCCCGCGCATGCCAGGCGAGGGCGCTACCACTTGAGCCACATTCCCAGCCCACAAGTTAAGTTTTAAAAGACTAATGTTATATATAACTAATAAAAAAAACAATAGCAAAGAAGACATTTTAGGAAAAAGGAGAAACAATTACATTACCTGATCCAGACCCTGATGTTGTCATATCATAAATTAAATCTTTTAATGTAGTACCCTCTGAAATAAAAGGGCGATCTAATGAAGGATCCTCTTCATTTGGCACTCGATGGTGAATGACAGTGCGGTTATGGCAGATATAGACCATCAACATGAGTGAGATGCAGACGAAGCAGACTGGTCCAGCAATGACAGCTGCCAGCTCGACGGGACCAAGGCCAGGAGGCTGCTTTACTGAAAAAGGGTCTCAAGTGAAATAAACATCAACAACAACAAATAACAATGTAGAGGCAGCACCTACATTTTCCTCACCCTCCTCATTTCCTACAATTAGCTACTGCCTCCACTTAGTCATAGGTCATCATAGCCACTCATCAGGCTCAAATCCAGGAGTAGAGATTCAGTCTTCTCCCATTGTCTTCCCACCTCCTTTCATGATCTCAAGCACTGTCAACACCTTCTCACTCTTCCCGTATTCTCCAGCCATCATCTAAATCACAAGGCCAACTATCACCAAAATCCTAGGATCTCCCCCATGTGTCACCTCAGATCACTAATAAAGGAATCAATAACCTAAAACAACTTGCACTCTGTCTTTTAGAATGTTTTTGCTTGCTTGTTTGTTTTTCTCAGTACAGGACTGAACCCAGGGCCTTGGGTATGGAAGGCAAGTGTTCTACCCCTGAGCTACATCCTCAGCCCCATTCCCCAACCCCCGTAAGTGTTTTTGGCTTGTCTAGTACGTGCTTGACTAGTACATGCTGATAGCAGAGGGAAAAAAATGCATAAATACAAAAAAGTGAAAAAAAATTATCACTTCACCATCTCAAAACAGTTCACATTTTAGTACAAGTGTCTTCAACATGTAATAATTTTTTTTTTTTAATACCAGGGATTAAACTCAGGGGTGCTTAATAACTGAGCCACATCTCCAGCCCTTTTTTATGCTTTATTTTGGCTAAGTTGCTTAGGGCCTTCGATACAATGCTGAAGCTGGCTTTGAACTCCTGCCTCAGCGTCCCACACTGCTGGGATTACAGGCATGCAGAGCTGGCTTCAACAATTTTTTAAGGCCTTTGTTTTTCAATGGTTTATATACATATATATTTTTCCCTATTTTAACCATCTGAACTTTAAATTCCAGATCATTTATTTTCTCAATAATTAACATTTTGCATTGTTTCAGAACCACATGAATCCTGAGCCTGACTGGTTCACTGCTCACTACCATTTCTTTTCATATCACATCTTATCTATTCTTCAGATCTTCAACTGGATTAATTTCTTATATCAAATACTATTTCTAATAATTTCTTTTAGGAATAATATTTAGATCCTTATACATTTAATAATTATCCAAAGATGGCTCTTGCCTTTGTACACACACAAAAAAATCTGGGCTTATTCAAGAATTCTGACAATCAATACAGAATGTTCCACTGCCTTCTTGATATTTAAAAAAGCAGAAAGTCCAAACAGTTTTTTCCTTTTATGGGTAACCAGTATTTACATGCACTAAATGCTTATAGATTTTTCATTCTTAAAAATGATACTTTTAAAATTATTTGTATTTGAATAATTATTTTTTCATTAATCTTACCTGACATTTTTCTCTCTTCTTTCTGCTCTCATGTCATTTTCTGGAATTCTAATAAGCATACTGTGTCACCTAGAACTGTTCCCCATCTCTCTTAAATTGCTCACCAACTGTCTTTTTCCTCTGAATTGTAACAATTTCTCCAGCTCAGCTATAAAATCACAGCATCCAGTCTGCTGTTGACTCCCAATATTGCATTTTTAAAAGCATCCATCAACTGAGCTTTTCTCTGAAAACAATCTTTTAATAACTATGAGATGTTCTCATTTTGTAGTGAACAAAATAAAAACAGACATTGGGCTGTCTAAAAGTTCTTCCCTAACAACTGGAAGCTTATTTCATAGGATTACATCTATTCTAACTTATCCAGTTCAATCCACTTATTTGAACCACTGCACCCTTTCATTTGATAATTTTTTACTTTGATTATTTTGAGTTGAAAATGAGGAGTTTGTGAATATTTAGAATTAAAAATTAGGTGATTACCTAAGGTTTTTAAAATTTCTATTCAGGTGTTCAAAGTTCAAGCAACAGAAATGGGAAATTTGGGAATTATCACTTTCTTTGCCATTTTAGAATTGCAGGTGCCTATATAAAGACATTATAGGCTGACAGTGCTATCACAGGGTGCTGCGCTACCTTGCTAAAACCAGGAGGAGGGCTCCCTCTTTCTTCTGAACTGCAGCCTTGTTTCCTACTTTAATCAGTATATAGCTTGGACCAACTGAGTTAAAAGTGAACACTGAGGTCTGACTTTAAGCAATGGAACCAGAGGCTCCCTAAAAGAAGGAAGGAGTTTGCCCCTGAAGTCTAGTCCCTCAGCTTAAGTTTCCAGTGGGATTTTGCAAAAAGGTCCTTTCACTCACGTCCTTATTATATGGTATGTCCATTCTTCACTAGTCTGGTGTCATTTGTTTATAAATGAAGAAATTCCTCACAAGTGTTGGCATTTTAAGTGGCATTCTTCCATTAATTCTGCTAGCATTCATGTAAGTTCCCCCCATTTTTATATTCCTTTGATTATTACAAAGGAATTTGAGGAAAGTGGTAAAATGTTTAAAATATATGTAGTCAAAGTTCCATCTTAACCCAAAACTTCAAAATCAATCCAATCTTAAGAGTCAAATTGCTGACTCTACCAGGACATTTTAAAATATAAACTATGGGTAATACCAAAAACCTAGAAATCATGTACACTTAACTTATACACAAAGATCATAAAACAAGGTGAAATTACAAAATGAAAACATCTAGACTATTAAGTGCTATTCTCAATTCCTGCCCATTAACCATCTGTTTATTGCTTTTACAGGCAAGCGCATTACACAAAGAAGAAATTATTCTGAGCACAAGGTGGGGAAACTGTGAGGACAAACTGCTACTTTGGGACGTGTCAGAATTTGCTTTTAAGAGACTACCCTTTTAGGCATAACAAATCTCACTGAAACAATCTTCTCTAACAACACATGTATCCAGGATTCAGGATCTTGGCTATTCTTACAACACTACAACTATGAAAAAGTCACTTCTTGCTTCTACCTTAAAACAAGTTGTGTGGGACAATTTATATAACTCCGTTCAGTTTCTGAAGGAATTTCTCTGCAATCATAGAATTTAAGAGCTTTCTTAGTAGTAGCCAGAAAAAAAGAATACAACAACTTACCAGTAGTTGGGAGCTCTATTTTATTGCAGTGGTCCTGATTGCAACAATATGTTGTAGTAACAGACCCAGTTTTTGAAGAAGGTGCACATACAAATGGTCTATCTCGAGGAATTAGGTCAATTTCAGCTATACACATGCTATTATGTATAACTTTGTCTGTGGTCTCCGTGACAGAGACAAAGCAAAGCCCATCTGTCACACAGGTAAAATTATCTTTTGTACAGAGGTGGCAGAAACACTGTAGTGCTAGGGGGGGAAAAAACAAGATCCTATTAGGAAAATAAATCTCAAGATTAACAGCTTAAAATTATTTGACATTTACACTATTATTATATTCTCAATCTTTTTATTACATAATTTCAATGCACTATTCAAAAACAACCTTTTGCCCTTAGACCTTCCAAAGTCTGTTGAGAGCCACATACACATAGAAGCCCAAGGAAATAAAGTTTGGGTCCAGGCTTTTTCTAAAAATGTTTATGTTTAATCAAACATAAAAAATGTTAAGCAAAATTTCATAAAACATTGCCCTCTTATTTGAAACAAAGTGCATTTAAATTTTTAATTTAAAATTTTTGAATTTTAAATACCTGTTCTTAGTCCCCAGCTGCATTCATATATATATATATATATATATATATATATATATATATATATATATATATATATATATATATATATATATATATATCTCCCCCCTGGGGACCAAATGTGTGAAATAACCAACACCACTGTGGGTTGGAAATGCCATTTCAGTGGATTTATGGTAATGGAATAATGGAAATAGATTCATATTGAGTCAGGTACTCTTTATTCATCTTCGTGTAAACCCTCAGAAAGACATTTATCTTCCAGCTAGGATGGGGGTATTCTCTCTCAGTAAAGTCAAGCAACAATTCAAATATGCTCCACACTTACAGGCAACCTCGTTACATAAATAACTGGAGAAACACAAGTTCAATGTCTACTTACATTTATTTAATCTTCACAGTTCAACTCCAGTAATGACCCCTTTAGGGAAGTCTAATTACCACCAACACCTTCCCATATACACAGACACCTACACACACTAAATCATGCTCTCTTAAGTGCTCCCCAAGATACACATTGCTTACCACAATGGCTATTTGTTTTTCTTCCCCATATGAAACTATAAATTCCTTGAAGCCAGAGATCTGTTAATCATTTCTGTAACTCTATCATCTAGCACTATACATGTTACACAGCATCAAACAATGCTTGTTGAATGAACAACAGAATGGGCACTTACATCTCACCATGTTCTCATGAAATTATAAGGCACAGATGTGTCCTTAAGTCCAATCAAACTTTCTTCATACTCATTGGCAAGGGAAAAGAAAAAGTCCAGATATGGGGAATGGCCATCTAAGATGAGACCAGGTATATACTGGCTAGGCAGATAGGCAGGCCAGGAGAATGCTAACTCCCTGAATGACTAACTTACAGTATAGGAGTTAACTCAGCAGGCCAAGCTGCTCAAACCCTGCACATTTCCAACAAAGCCCTATCTTCAGGACTAGCCTTGACTGGTTCCTGGGAGATGGGCTTCCTAGCCTCTGGAATATTCTCCCTGATAACAATGCTTCTGTTTGCCTGGGGCCTTCAGTACCAATTTGATCAGATAGTTTATACTAACAATGTGATTTATAGTGAATACCTCTCTTTGATGTTGGAGTTGGAAGGGCAGTGAAGTCTGAGTAGTTGAAGTCAAGTCACACAGACTATAAACCTACATGACAGACCCTCCAATAAAACCCCTGGTCATAGAAGCTCAGGTGAGCTGCCTTGGTTGGCAACATTTTACACACACTGTCCTGTGTTACTGTTGAGAGAAAGAAGGCCATTTGTCTATTCTATCATCTACTCTACCATGATAGACACATGGAACCTGGACTGCACCCTAGATGCCTTTCCCCTTTGCTAATTTTAACCTATATCATTTCACTGTAACAAACCATAGCCATGATGATAATAACTTTTCTGAGTTCTGTGAAATCATAATGCCCGAGTTGGGACTCCCAACTGCCTTGCTAAACTCAAACTCATGAATGACAGGTTCTCCTCAAGCAGTTGTTTCTTGACTGCTGGTATAATTACCACACTTGTCTACTACCTTTACAGACAAGAGCAGTATTACTATAACCATTATTTTTTTAAAAAGTTCTTTTTCTTCATAGACACCTATTTGACTTAAGTCTTCCCAAGTCTGAAGGGAACTCAAGAAGACTACAAGAGACACGATCATAACCTAAGTTAAGAGACAGCTGACTTTCAGGATAATGTTTGCTGGTGAGTATAAAGTCCCTGGATATAATTTTCTAAGGAGGGATTCTGAGCTGGGAATTCATGGTCCAGCTTCTGAAGTACATAAATCCATTAACTATAAGACCAAATATCGTATATATTTGCATTTACAAGCAGAAAGTCTATAGCTTTCAACAGAATTCACAAAGGGATCTGTTATCCACAAACGATTAAAACCACCAATACTGTTATCATCTTCTCCCGACTCCTCCTTGCTCACAAGTAGCTGTTCAACCTAAGTGCCGCCCTCAACCAGTGCAAGCAGCTTAACTTAAGGTCGCTCGTGTGAATTTCCTGGGTCACCAAATAAAACACAGACACACACTTTACTTTTAAATCAAGCTTCAGGTCGGCTCCTCCTCTCTCAGCCTCAAGCTCCCCAAATGGGAGAGTGAGGAAAGTCACGAGAGGCTGGCAAGAGAGACAGAGAGCACGTTCAGATGTGCTTTTATTGGGGGGACCCTCATTCTTAGAAAGTTCCATCCAAAAAAGGTCAGGAAGGGCAGGGTTACAAGGACAGGTGAGAGTAATTCGACCCATGGGACTGCAGAAAGACACGCCTATGTCTGAAGACACATTCTGCTACTTCAAGGATCAGGGCAATATCCAGGTCACTATGAAAGTCACCGACAGAGTCTCTCTGATCCCGGGAAGGAGAATGCCAGTCATTCAAGGAGGGCTTCCAACATATCCCCGCTTTTTTCTTTGAAAAAGCAGATGATGGGTCACTTTTTTGAGTCCCCGAATCCTTGCTTTGAAGGCTCACCATCCTACCAAAGAGAATTAGTAGCAAAGAGAACAATACAAGAATATACCATGATGAATGTTTAAAAGTGTTTCCAGGGTTAGAGCCGTTTAATTCTTTTAATATTTGATTGGCAAAAGAAGTAGGATCCGAAAAAATCAATCTTGCTTTTTTATATATTTTGAATATGATGATGGAGCTCCAAAAGATCCAAGCTGTTATTATTAATTTGCCAAATACCCAACAAATGGTTTTTAACCTTCTCCCAATCTCATTGGGAAGCCCTGTATTTGGCAGCAGTAACACATACATACTTATAGCTAGCGTGACATTTAAGTCTTTCCTTGAATTTCAAACCGAAAGTTCATTACCAATATTTATGACAGTAGCCTCTAAGACACTTAGCTTAGTCTCAATACTTTCATCAATATTTATTTGGCTCAGTATTCTGAGCCAAATTATTAAGAAAATTTGCATATTGAATATTTTGGGATATGGCCACCAAAGCTGTGACCGTTGAAGCAAAAAAAGAAACCAAGGCAACAACTCCCACTATTATGAGTCCAAGAGCACGTTTAGGTCTCACTAGCTGTTGTTAAGACTTGAAAACCAGCATCAGCTTACCATGCCTCTGAAATATTAGCTGGCAATAAGACAAAAGAGGGCTGATGGAATATCGGCATTCCTTTTTCTCTATTATATCTGGTGATACAGTTAGTTAAATTACATTTACCACATGTTACAAGATATCTATCATCTTTCCATTCAACTTTTATATTTCCAGTAATTAAAACGTAAGGAGATTGAACACAGGCTCTAAGCCATAGCAAGAACCTTCCTTATAGTTCTTGCCTACAAAATCTGGTAAAGGTCTGTTAGTAAAATGTAAGAATACTGAGGCAGCAATTAAGCGCCAAACATCTTTCTGAATGCTACCTTCAATGAAGGTCAAGATGTTGCTAACAAATCCTCCAGGAGTCATTATGGCAGTACTTTTGCACAACTGCCTTTTTTCGATTTTAGGAGACCAGTCCAAAATATACCCACTATTTCTAGACACCTTATGTTTTACTGGAAAAGTATTTATACAATCCATCCACTTAGGAAAGGTGCCAATTTCTATCGCAGAATGGTTAGGAGGAATGAGGTATTCATGGACGTTCTGCTGAGATGACTGGTTTGTTATGAGAAAGTCCCATTTTAATAACTGATCTGATAAAAGGTTTTATATCTCCATTACCAGTACGATTAGTTGGTCTAGGTCTCCCAATTGCTGTCTTTTCCTCAAATGATACTTTTAGACAGCCAGCATGTTTATTGTGGGACCAACGCAAAGGTAATTGGGCACTATAGCCAGAATAATTAAATCCAGTCACATGATTGGGAGTAATATGAATGTCTGTAAATCCTCCCGTGAGTCATTAGTAAATACCAGGATGGATTCTCCAGTCCACAATGCTGGGTGTACTAGAGGTAGATCTGGAAAATATGTTCAATAATTCTCTCCCTGATTCCCTTATACTTGACAGCTCAATAGAGCTATTACTGCAGCAAGCATCATTGTTGGAATTTTAACTTTCCCTTGCTGTTGAATCATTCGTGTAGCCCACAGCATCAATTTCTTCAGGTCCTTCCACGGGATTAGCTTCCTCATTCGGTTTCTCAGGGTCATCACTCTTCTTCTCTTCTTTTGAGGTTTCTTCTTTTTGAGGGAAGTCTTCTCTGGGTGGATCTTCAGTCCTTTGAATCTTGGTTCTAAGTCCTCTATGTCTGGCGGCATGTTCAGGTACCCAAATAGGATGAAAAGCACCTTCTGGAAAAATACAAGCATGACCTCTGCCCTACATAATTACTGGATCTGGTCCTTTCCATTGACCAGTCTGTAAATCCTTCCACCAAACTCGGCCTAAAGGGCCTGTTGCTATGGAAGACATGTGTTGCTAGCTGCAGTGTGATCTTCTGAGTCACAATTTAGAAAATTTAAAAGAAACAGAACATGATTGAGGTTATTTGGGGGAGTCATAATCCTATCTCCCCCTTTTAGTTTTTGTAACTGTAGTTAAATGAGTTCATTTAGTTTTTGTAATTGTAGATAAATGAGCTCATTCTACAATGGTTTGAACTTGAAGATTATAAGGAATACCTGTTTTATGATTAATCCGAAACTCTTGGCAAA